AGCAAGATAGTTGAGGGATTCAAGTCTTACTCAATCCCTCCCCCCCCCCCAAAAAAAACAAGCCAGGTGAGCACATTCATTTAATAATAATAATAATAATAATAATAATAATAATAATAATAATAATAATAATAATAATAATAATAATAATAATAATAATAATAATAATAAAGTTGGAAGAGACCTTGAAGGTCATCTAGTCCAACCCCCTGCTCAGGCAGGAAACCCTATACCATTTTGGACAAATGGCTGTCCAGTCTCTTCTTAAAAACTTCCAGTGTTGAAGCATTCACCGCTTCTGGAGGCAGGTTGTTCCACTGGTTAATTGTTCTAACTGTCAGGAAGTTTCTCCTTAGTTCTAGGTTGCTTCTCTCCTTGCTTAGTTTCCACCCGTTGCTTCTTGTCCTGCCTTCAGGTGCTTTGGAAAATAGCTTGACACCCTCTTCTTTGTGGCAGCCCCTGAGATATTGGAACACTGCTATCATGTCTCCCCTCGTCCTTCTCTTCATTAAACTAGACATACCCAATTCCATTAACCGTTCCTTATATGTTTTAGCCTCCAGTTCCCTAATCATCTTTGTTGCTCTTCTCTGTACTCTTTCTAGAGTCTCAACATCTTTTTTACATCACGGTGACCAAAACTGGATGCAGTATTCCAAGTGTGGCCTTACCAAGGCATTGTAAAGTGGTATTAACACTTCACGTGATCTTGATTCTATCCCTTTGTTAATGCAACCTAGCACTGTGTTGGCCTTTTTGGCAGCTGCAGCACACAGCTGGCTCATATTTAAGTGATTGTCCATTAGGACTCCGAGGTCCCTCTCACAATTACTACTATTGAGCAAGGTACCCCCTATACTATACCTGTGCATTTGGTTTTTCTTGCCTAAATATAGAGCCTTGCTTGTTTCACCATTGAATTTCATTTTGTTAGATAGTGCCCAGTGTTCAATTCTGTCCAGATACTCCTGTATCTTAAACCTGTCTTCTGGAGTGTTGGCTATTCCTGCCAGCTTGGTGTCATCTGCAAACTTGATGAGTTTGATGAGTCTGCAAATTTGATTTCTTTGGTATCAAATTGTACAAGGAGCAACTAAGCAATACATCAAGCCAGGAAGACAGTCCAAAATATTGAGTTTCAGAGGGCTTCTGGGAGAGAAGGCTTGCACTGACTAACGTTTATCTCCCTTAGCTCAATCCTACTGAGAGGAGAGAACTTCAGGATTCAGGGTGTTGAATATATATTGATATAAAAAGAATTAAAATGGAGCAACATGTCTAAAAAAATTAAACCATGGAGAACTGGTAATACAGAGAATCAAAGGAAATATATCAAGGAAGATCTGTAGATCCATGTTTCTTCCTGTAAATAAATTTTAACTTTTTTAAAAACTACCCAGATTATTCCACAGCCTGGAGCTATCCCCCCGCCGCCCCATCAAAGTGCTAACACGATTCCACACTGCTTCTTAGAAGAACATATTTGAGTTTCTACAACCTGTCATTGAGATTTATCTTCTGCTTCCAAGTTCAAATACACAGTTTCAACTTCCTGTGATTGAATGTTTTTGGAGAGCTGCGGAGAGGAAGAGAAGTTTTTTTGCCTGGCATCAGATCCACTTCCTCTCACTGTGTATCTCGCACAGTAATAGACAGCTGTGTCCTCGGGTTTTAGATTGTTCATTTGCAAATACAGCTGACTGTGGGAATCATCCCTGGAGATGATGAAGCGTCCCGTGAATTTATCAGGGTAGTAAATGGAAGGAGATGAGCCTGTAAGTATTTTGGCCACAAATTCTAGTTCTTGCCCTGGAGCCTGTCTCACCCAGTGCATCCAGGAGGTGCTGAAGGTGAATCCAGAGGCTTGGCAGGAGAGACGGAGGGACCCTCCAGGTCTTCTCACACCCCCTCCAGACTCCACCAACTGTCCTTGAGATTTGACACCTAAAAATAAAAGTGTTTCAATGAAACCTTCTATGTACAAAAACAGAACAGGGAAAGAAATTCTTTAAAGAGGGAAAAAGTACCTTGAAGGAATACTAGTAAGGGCACCAAATTCAACCACGGGATCATTTTTTGCTCCCTGTAATGAATGAAGGGAATTGATAGGAAAGGATTCAGGAAAGTGCACAAACTTTGTGTTGGTGGCCGCAGCCTGAAAAGGGAAATCATGTAGCTTTAAAGGGGGAATTGTGCCTCAATTTACATATCACTTCAGATAAAAGATCCCCTCAGTGCATTAATCTCACAGTTTTCCTTGTACACTTCTTACTTGGATGACTTTCACATAACACTCCAGTCTCAATAAAAGTGAAGGCAGTCTCTTTCTTTCTTTCTTTCTTTCTTTCTTTCTTTCTTTCTTTCTTTCTTTCTTTCTTTCTTTCTTTCTTTCTTTCTGTCTGTCTTTCTTTCTTTCTTTTTTCTTTCTTTCTTTCTTTCTTTCTGTCTGTCTGTCTTTCTTTCTTTCTTTCTTTCTTTCTTTCTTTCTTTCTTTCTTTCTTTCTGTCTTTCTTTCCTTTAATTTTATAGTAGAAATGGCAGATTTATATTAGAGTAATTAAAACAAAGACTTTCAAAATTTAACCGCTTCTCAAAAGTGATTCAAACGGGCAGGTGAGGAACGTGCAATTATAATTTTTGAAAGAGCTAAACCACAGCTAGATACAGCTGGCTACAGGAATCATCTCTGGAGATGGTGCAGCATCCCTTGACTTTGTCTGAGTAGTAAATGGAAGGAGATGATCCTATGTAGACTATGTAGGCTACCCATTCTAGGTCTTTCTCTGGAGCCTGTCTTGCACACTCCATTCTCTAGCCACTAAAGGAATATCCAGAGTCTTGGCAGGAGAGACGGAGGGATCCTCCAGGTTTTGTTACGTCCCCTCCAGACTCCACCAACTGCCTCTCTGACTGGACACCTAGAAAGAAAGGAGTTTCAGTGATATCTCCTGTACAGAAAAACAGCATATGGAAGGAAATGTTATAGAGAGGGAAGCCTTACCTCCAAGAACTGCTGATTAGAAGACCAACTTTGGCCACAGAATCATTGCTGCTCCCTCTAATGAATGGAGTGTCCATGTTAGTGTCCATGTTTCACCAGCCTATGTTAGAGCAGGTAGAACACCTTGATCAAAAACTTTTCTCTTCAAACATAGGGGGAGGTGGTTCTTGAAAATTATGCTTAGCTTGCCGAATGTCTTCCAATAACATTTAACACGCCGTTCAATTTCATTTAGGCCTGGAGACTAAAACATATGAAGAAGGGCTGCAGGACCTGGACCAGATGTTCAGTCTTCAGAGCATTCAGACGTGTGCTTGAGCCCATCTTCAGGGAATTTCTATCTAGCATGAGTCTTAAAGCTCGGAAGACTAAACAATGAAAAATGGGTTAGAAAGCACAATTGTCTGGCTGTCCACAATATACATAGTCAAAACAAAGAAATGACTGCTTAACCAACATTTTCACAGTAGACATAGATAGATAAATGAGTCACATTGATTTCACTCGTTTGGATTGTTACAGATACATATCAAGTAAGGAACAATTGTCTTATTGCCCCTTAATTAACAGATATTTTTGAATAAAAATAATATCTGCATTAATAGCAATAGCACTTAGACTTATACACTGCTTCATAGTGTTTTATAGCCCTCTCTAAGCAGTTTACAGAGTCAGCACGTTGCTCCCAACAATCTGAGTCCTCATTTTACCGACCTCGGAAGGATGGAAGGCTGAGTCAACTTTGAGCCAGTGAGAATCGAACTGCCAAACTGCAGGTAGCCTGCAGTACTGCATTCTAATCACTGCACCACTGCTTAATGTCATAGATGTTCTTAATGTACCTTAACATACAAATGAACACATAAATGTGGGGATGTTTTTATATGTATGAAGACAAACTCTTCAGTATTCATACAATGGGTTGCCTCATATTTGTTTAAATAGAATTCTTGCTTTGCAATCTGGAAGTTGGGCAGCTGAATTTCTTTTCTGTTGTCACATTACAAGATGAGATCATGGGATTTGTCTCCTTTCCTTGCAGGGGAAAGCAGCTGAGGGATAATAATAATAATAATAATAATAATAATAATAATAATAATAATAATAATAATAATAATAATAATAATAATAATAATAATAATAATAATAATAATAATAATAATAATAATAATAATAATAATAAAAAGTTGGAAGGGACCTTGGAGGTCATCGAGTCCAACCCCCTGCTCAGGCAGGAAACACTACACCATTTCAGACAAATGGCTGCCCAGTCTCTTCTTAAAAACTTCCAGTGTTGGAGCATTCACCACTTCTGGAGGCAGGTTGTTCCACTGGTTAATTGTTCTAACTGTCAGGAAGTTTCTCCTTAGTTCTAGGTTGCTTCTCTCCTTGATTAGTTTCCATCCATCGCTTCTTGTCCTGCCTTCAGGCTCTTTGGAAAATAGCTTGACTCCCTCTTCTTTGTGGCAGCCCCTGAGATATTGGAATACCGCTATCAGGTCCCCCCTCATCCTTCTCTTCATTAAACTAGACATACCCAATTCCAGCAGCCTTTCCTTATATGCTTTAGCCTCCATTCCCCTAATCATCTTTGTTGCTCTTCTCTGTACTCTTTCTAGAGTCTCAACATCTTTTTTACATCATGGTGACCAAAACTGGATGCAGTATTGCAAGTGTGGCCTTACCCAGGCATTGTAAAGTGGTATTAATACTTCACGTGATCTTGAATGTGTCCCATATCGCAAAGTTAGTATGGATGACATCATGTCAAAACTTCTCCTGATTTATAGTTGATGGTAAGAGTAAACACTAAGCAGTGACAACAAAGCAAGAAGGCAGCCCAAAATATATAGACCAGAATGTTGCATTGAAATGGAGATTTGCAATTGACAATATCTGACAGTCTTGGCATTGCTCAGCTGTGGAAAGAGAGCTTCAGGCATCAGGGGATCTTACACAGATTAATGTAGAAAGACTTAAGGAGGATAGAGACGTGGGTTTAAGCATAATGAGTATAAATTAATGGAGAAGAAATGAAAAAGGAATAACATGTAGAAAAGTATGAGACAGAGGAAATTTGGCAATATTGAAAGAAATAAAAGGGACTGAGTGTAAATAAGTGTAAGCTTTTCAGAGGCAGAGAAAGTTCTTGACGGGCTTCAGATTCACTTCCTCTCACTGTGCTTCTCGCACAGTAATAGACTGCCGTGTCTTCAGCTTTGAGGCTGTTCATTTGCAGATACAGCTGGCTTTTGGCATCGTCCCTGGAGATGGTGAAGCGGCCCTTCACTTTGTCTGAGTAGTAAGTGTCAGTTGTACCCATACTTGCAACCCACTCCAGTCCTTTCCCTGGAGCCTGTCTTATCCAGCCCATGTAATAGCTGCGGAAGGTGAATCCAGAGGCTTGGCAGGAAAGACGGAGGGACGCTCCAGGTCTTCTCACATCTCCTCCAGACTCCACCAACTGGACTTGAGATTGAACACCTAAAAAGCAAGGTGTTTCAATGAGATCTCCTGTAAACAAGAACAGCAAATGAAAAAAAAAAAACCTCTACATGGAGGGAAACATTACCTCCCAAGGATAGAAGTAAGGACACCAAGTTCAGCCACCGGATCATATTTGCTCTCTGTGTAATGAATGGAATGGAACTGAAAGGAGAGGATTTGGGAAAATGCACAAACGTTGTGTTGGTGGGTGTTGCTGCAAAAGGGAAACCAATTGTTGCCTTTAAAGGGGAAATTGTGCCTTGATTTACATATTGGTTGAGATAAAAGAGTTCCTCAGAAGAGGGATTTCATAGTTGTCCTTGCACGCACCCTGCACAGTTGATTTTTGTATAAATTTCCAGTCCAAAGAAAAAGGAAGGCAGATTTTACAGAGGAATAAATTAAAGAAAAACCTTGCAAAATTCCACCAGTTCTCAAAAGTGATTGAGGGGATGAAACAAATGATGAACAAGCTATAAGAACATTTGAAAGAGGCATGTTAGGAAACATGAAAACAGCAGCACCTCTGAGTTCAGGAAAGTTTTTATGCATTTTTCCCTTTAATATGACCTTTTGAAGAAACACAAAAGAACTGAATGCAGACCAAGATCATTTTTGGAGGCTATTTTACTATTTTGTGGGGTAATTTAATTGTAATAAAAATGTTACCAAAAACACTCACTGTACATTGAAAAAAAATAATAATAAACCTCTTTGAGGAAGGAAGGAAGGAAGGAAGGTTTAAAAATGCAGAAACAAACAAACAAACAAAACAGAAATGGCAATGGAGTGTTGTGTGACAACTTTGCCCCCCAGTGTCTAAAGTGAGGATGAAGGAAATAAAAGTTATTCTTTTATAAAATTGTAGAAAAATAATTGTAGAAATGTAATGCCAATATATGAGACTGTCTATTTAACACAAATGTAACACTGTAACGCAAATGTAGCAATGCACTGCCAAATGTGTGAGAAGGTTTGTTCAATGTTTACTGCCTAAAAATCCTCCGGACACAGGAACTTACACTTTGAGTAGAAATCCTACTATCAAAGAGGGGGATTTTGACCCTAGGTGAAAATTACAAATAAACAAGATAACAGCAGATGGGTGGAAGAGGTCAGGATGACTTTAAGTACAACTTCAAAGTACATTATAAAGATGAAAGAGCTTCTTAGATGTGACATGCATTGTAGAGGTATAAGATGCAAAATTTAAAACCAGGCCAGTGTGCTCCTAGAAACCAATCCATAGGGAAGGATCCAGGAGGCTGCATTTGCAAACACTTCTCTTCTCTTCTCTTCTCTTTTCTTTTTATTCTTTTTATGTTATTCTCCAATAAACCTTTGTTTTGTTAACCAGACTTGTCTTCGTATTGTGAGTATCAGAATTTGGGGTTTTTACATCTCACAAGGACACATCTTAATTCTCCCCAAAAATTATTTTGGTCCAGATGTTCCTTAATATTTCTATGGCCAGTTTAGATATTTAGAAGGATTATCCTGATGTTTCATTTCCAGAGTTCTGCTGTGATATTAAAGAGAACATTCCACTCTAGATCTTTTTTTTTCTCTGAAGCCAGATCACCTTGCAAACAGGGAAGGTAAAACTGGAATTTTGAAGGCAATTTCCTCATTTTTCATTGACTTCAGCAACTGGATCCCTAGAACAAAAGAATGCAGGATCCGTGGCTGAATCAAGTTGCAGAGCTGCTCTGAAGAAAGGAAGCTTCTTGTTTGGCTTCAGATTCACTTCCTCTCACGGTGTAATAGACTCCCATGTCCTCTGGTTTGAGGCTGTTCATCTGCAGATACTGCTGGCTTTTGGCATTGTCCCTGGAGATGGTGAAGCATCCCTTCACTTTGTCTGAGTATTAAATATAAGATGAGGTTGGAGATATGTCGCCCACCCATTCCAGTCCTTTCCCAGGAGCCTGTCTCGCCCAGTGCATGTAATTGCTGCTGAAGGTTAATCCAGAGGCTTGGCAAGAGAGACGGAGGGATTTTCCAGGCCTTCTCACATCCCCTCCAGACTCTACCAACTGGACGTCAGATTGGACACCTAAAAAGAAAAGTGTTTCAATGAGATGGCCTGTATGCAACAACAGCTAATGAAAAAGAATTCTATATAGAACTCTATATACTATACCTCCAAAGAGTGCAAGTAAGGATAAGAACTTTAGAAACAGAATCATTTTTGCTCTCGGTAATGAATGGAGGGAATTGGTAGAAAAGAATTTGGGAGATCGCACAAACTTTGTGTTGGTGGGTGTCACAAGAGAAAGGAAATCTGCTATTGCCTTTAATGGAGAAACTTTGCTTTGATTTACATATTGGTTGAGATAAAAGAAATTCTCAGAGCAGGGATTTCCTAGTTATCCTTGCCCACTGCACAATTTCTTTTATTTTTTTTATTTATTTATTTTCCCAGTCCAAATAAAAATGAAGGCAAATTTTACAGAGGAATAATAAAAACAAAGACTTGCAAAATTTCACCATTTCTCGGAAGTGATTCAAGAGAAAAAAATCATATAGCAAGGAAAAAGAACATTTGAAAGAAGCATGTCAGAAAACATGAAAACAGCAGCATATTTGAATTCCGGAAAGGTGTTATATTTTTATTCCCTTTAATATGTCCTTTAGAAGAAACTTGGAAAAAATAAATATAGACCAAGATCATGTTTATTTTGGAGGCTATTTC